TCAACCTGGCTCCACGACTGCCCACAAGCTTTCATTCCTTCCTCACATGTCACCCTCGGAAACCCAACTCGTCGTTTCCCCTTTCGATTCCACTCGAGGACCTGGCGCGTGATGTCTCCAGTCGGCCTTCTCAGTGTATGCCCAATCCATCTCCACTTCCTTCCAGTGCATATTTGTTGAGTGATGGGTTCTTGGTTGGTTCGTTGGTAGGCCAGAGTTCCTTGTTGCTTATTCCTGTTATCCTGGCCATCTGATCTTCAGTATAGAGCGCAGGCAACTGTTCATGAATGTTTGTAGTTTGTTGGGAGTGCTTTTCGTGACGCGCCAAGTTTCTGAACCATATAGCCGCACTGACTTGACTGAATCGGTGTTGAAAATCCGAATCTTGTTCTTTGTGCTGACTACGGAAGATCTCGACACTAGTTTCAGGTTAATGAATGCCTGTCTTGCTTTTCTGATTCTGACTTTGACATCGTCGTCTGTGCCTGTAGTTGAGACAGTGCTGCCTAGATAGGTGAAAGAGGCTACTTCCTTTAGGTTTCTCCTATTGGTGGCGATCGGAGCTTGTTGTTGTTGGTTTGGTATCTTCATCACCTCCATCTTTTCTACATTCACTTGAAGTCCCGTTTTCGCTGCCTCTTCCGTCAACTTGTCAGTTTTCGCCTGTAGATCTTATAAAGCAATATAGGCCATTCTTTCTCAGTGAAACTGGTCACTGAAGCATAACAGATTCATTCTTCAAGGTAATTAGGAAAGTAAAAGCTAAATATCCTTTCAATCTTATATTTATATGCACTACGAATCGACACGCAAATAAAACAGTTAGCCTAGTCTATTAAACTTTTCGGGTTAGTAAAAAATATATCTGAACTTAGCATGTTGCCTGTCATCGGAATTATTAATTACTTAATACGTCCAGTCTTATTATTTTCAGTTTGTTGCCTTGTTATTATTAAAACTGAAGTACACAAAACATTAGTCAGTCAATCAAACTCTGATTGTAGAAAGAGAAAAATGGCACACTCTATATAAGTCGTGCGTTCACAATATTTTTCATATGGTTAACAAATTTTCTCTTGAAATCAACTTCTAAACAGCTTCCCTAATCAAACCTTAAAATGGTGAAACCCACTACTACCACAAAAATTAGGCTATTGTAAGCTTTTTTTTAAGGGTTTAACATGAATTTTGACTCCAACTGATGATTGACATTTGAAAACTCCACTCTTCACATGCGTAACTAATAGATTAAATGATAAAATATCCACTTAAAAGGTTTATAAAGAATTGATTGATTTCAACTAAGTTCTTACTACAAGTTGAGATCATTCAGAGAACCATTAAAAGCCTTGGAGCATACTGGACAACTGCCTTGTCCCAGTTTAGGATTCTTTAGTAGTGTACACCCATAACCTATTGAAGGGTCGGATTCAAGACCGTCAGGTCTCCAAGGCAAGCATATCCTTTACAAAATGGGTTGGGACCCTATAACCCGCTCTCCCCAAATTCTGTCACTTCAGCACATAGTTTAACCATCATTCTATATCACAGACAAGTATTTGCCCCACAGCAAAGAAGTCTCTGAAAATATTTTTAATTCCACCTTACTACGAGGTCATATAATCAGCTAAAACTTCGTGATTTTCAATGCTTACTCACTAAGTATTGCCAATTTTAATTAGTGTATGTGGTCCACCAGTATTCAAAGATGGATTATGGTAAATGGTTCAGAGACAAATAACTGTATTTTTTCAGTTGCAAAGCTATAAGCTTTTCAGCTTCAAATTTTAATCAAGAGTACAGTGTTGCGAACCCAGACTTTTCGGATAGTTTGACTTTTCTGTAGACCAATCAAAAAAATATTAGTTTAGCGCTTTTGTACCATACTTTGCTACTCACCTTCTAATACTTCCGTGGCTTATCGAGGTGTACTGTGCCGAGGTAAATAATTGCCTTTTGTATTTTCAGTATCCTAATGAAAGAAGCAAAATACAGATATGCAGGAAGTGGTACAGTAGTCATTAAATATACTACACGTTGGACTAAGACAGTCATTTGCAAAATATGCCTCATTTCTTCTTCTGCTTCTTCCTTGATTTGCTCTTAATACGCCTGCCTTGTCTCTTAAGTTTCTCTTGGCGGAATCTTTAATCATTGCTGGTGATTTCCTATGATTTCTGCCACCCTCTCAACATATACTACTTACATCCATTCTTATCAGCAACGCACACTACACTCGTCCCAGCCGTCAAAATTTCGGGCTTACAACCGTGTTGATCGTCTTGGTGCTGTTTCCTCTTGGCGTTCATGCAAAGTCTCGTCTTTTTCCCACCGCTTCCATTTTTGAAGTAGGCTGGAGTTTACTCTTTTCTCTTTGTCCCCTTTTCTAATGGTATAAACTGAACCGCGTCTCTCGGTAATGATGTATAGCCTTTCCCACTTCGGGAGTAGTTTCCTCCTATCATATTCACCTCCTGGCGTATATCCTCATTCTTTACACTTCACCTGATCTCCGACTTCAAACGGTTTCCACTTACTTCCTTCTCTCTGCTCAGATTTTTCAGCATCAACTTTCTGTTTCCGCTCCACATTTCTGACTGCCTGTTTCCGCTCATTTCTCAATCTCTAGTCATGTTCCATGGTTGTTGATGGGGCCAGGTCTTACTATGTATTGGAAGCCGTGGTTCCCTGCCATACATTAACTGGGACGACTTCTTAGTTGTTCCTTGTACCGAGGCACGATGAGCTAATAATATTAACGGCAGTTCCGTCTCCCAATTTTCTCCTTTCGAAGCCAACCACCCCTTAAGTGTAAGGTTATTCAGTTCTGTCAAACCATTAGTCTGTAGGTGGTACGGCGTCGTTCTTATCCTCTTGATATCAAGTTGCTCCAAACAAGGTTTGAATTCTTCACTCTCAAAACAAGGACCTAGGTTGGTATCATTTTCGGCACACCGTGATCTGCCACTATATGCCACATCACCGCTGGGGTCACTGTCTTCGCGCGTTGGTCCGGAATTGCGACAGTGTCTACCCATCGTGTAACATGCTCCGCAATCACCAACAGGTACTGGTTGCCACTAGACGTCTGCGGAAATGGTTACATTACGTCCACAGGTCCCCAACTGCCTCCACTGGAATCGAGTGAAGCGATGGTCATACGTACCTATCACCAGTTGACAATGAGGACAACCCAGCAAGTGTTTGACAACATCTCTCATACCTGGCCAGTATACACTTTGTCTGAGGTCAGCTGTCCGTGAGACACCTGTATGAGCTAACTGGTGGTATCCTTGTATCCTTTTGTTGCGTAAACATTTCGGAATCACTGCCAACCAGCACCCGTCGTTTTCTCGCCACGTCAGCATTCCATAAGTATTCGTCCGTAGGCGTTCTTTCTGCGTCAACAACTTTCTCAACTCTTTATTTTCTACAGACGTTTGTGTCTCCGTCCCTTCAGTTATGGCTCTTATCACTTCTTTAAGTGTAAAGTCCGACTTCTGAAGGCTAATAAGTCTTAATGGGTCACCTGTAGTTGAAACGATGCTGCGTAGGTACGTAAATGAGAATACTTCCTTTAGATTTTCTCCTTGATGGTGATCAGTGCTTGTTGTAGTTGTTGGTCAGGTATCTTTATCACCTCTGTATTCTTTACGTTCTCTTGAAGTCCCGTCTTCGCTGCCTCTTCTGTCAACGTTTTGGTTTTTGTCTGTGAACCTTCAAGTTTGTGCGACATTAGACATGAATCGTCATCGGTGAAATCCAAGTCTTCTAGGGTCTTTTCATCGGCGAAACAGCGTATGCCCCTCTTGTTGCTTCTCACAGTTTGTTGCACCATCCAGTTCAGTCGACTACAATCAGGAAGATCATCGGTGATAGTAGGCGGAAGCCTTGCATTACTGAAGTGTCGGCTTCGTAGCATACGGTATATGTTGTAGAACGACCACATCAGTAAGACAGAAGTTAGACGTAAGTCAGTTGGGGTTGTAAACATACATCAACTCACATAACTGAAATATGCGCTGTAGATTCGTCGTCACTGCATACTGTATCTTGCGATGTTGGCTGAAGTTTAGACAAGAAGAGTAAAAGGCTCGCAGACTAGAAAATGGTGTCAGTCCATGAAGTCTTTGACTGTTCGTTTGGCTTAAGTAGGGGAATATAGATTTCCTTATTGGGATTCGCGTGAAAACCAACACGGTAATTGAAGACTCTAGTTGATATGACCGAGATTATCTCTTGATGACACGAATGCATCTAGACATTATCTTTATCTCAAGCGTCATACTGAACTTCGTTAGTTTTATTCCTTCTCACTCTTTTTTTCACGACTTTGACTACTTTCTTTCGCATTTCTCTATCTCTTACCTTCTGCGTTCTAATTCAATGCGGTGATTTGAAGTGCGGCAACCTGAACTGTTAAGCAGTATCACTAAGTCCTATATATTGGTATCAACTGAGCGAAACAACACGTTCATCTTCCGATGAATGTTTTCATTCTAACTAGCGTACTGGACGGGGAACATTTTCATAAATTCTTTCCTCGAAGTTATGTTAATTAATTACAGTAGAGACCTCTGTTTACAAGAAACGGTTAATGTAAGAACCCCCACATATTGTAGATCTATCAAAGTAGAGTCTTATCCTTTACCATGAAGATACTTGGTTAAAACAAGGATTTTACCTCAGCTTACTTACGAATATTGTATGGTTGAAGACCGACGACAGTTTTGTATTGTTACTTTCAAAAGAACTAACACTCTATCAGAAATCTGATCATGTATCATCAAGAACCTCTACTACCAAATTATTCAGTGAAAAAAAATCATCCAAGATGCCTTCTACTTAACTAGACAGTTTCTTCAGTAAGCTTTAAAAGCTCTTCTCTATGAAGTTATCTACAGCATACCTGCGTCATTCACTATTCATATTTGCTCTCCATGTACGAGTCACACTTCTAAAAGCAGTTTGTGTGAAAATGTTCCAAGAAAGACTTCAAGCATTGATAAGTAGTTTGCATTTACAATGAAATCCTTTTTACAATGGAAGAGAAAAAGTCATACCATAATTAAATTAAGATACAAAGATAACGGAAAAATTCCAGGTACTATTTACATAAGGAGAATCGCACAGACACACGCACACAAATATAGCAACCATTTGAAGTCAAAATCCATATTTTGCTCGATTTGATGCCTTGTTACGTCGTGCCTCAGCCCAACGTTTCTCCAATTCCATTTCATTCTCTTGAGCCTGTTAGAAGAAAAACAGGCAACATTTTGATGAGAAGAGAAATTATATCTAGGAGAATTTTAACGAACGCATGAATTCTAGAAGCGCAATTTTGTGCGCCCTTGACGATTCACTTGAAACTGCAAGGAGACTTACGCAAACAATCATTAAATCTGTTTGTTTACTACATCATAATCAGCTATCATACTCACAGTTTACTCGTCAGGATTTTAAGTCAAGAGGTTCCTGAGATCGGGTGGTGGTTCGAACCAGCGCTCTCTGGGTTGACGACTCCGTACTGTACCAGATGACCTACGACACCAGTAGCTCAGAATTAGTAGAGCACTATGCTGGTAATCCAAAGGCCGTTGGTTTGAATCCTCCTGCAACTCAGATTTCCATTTCACCTTCAATCCAGTATCAATAGGTCGAGTCTGGAAAACTATGGCTATCTCAGATAGTCACAGTGATCATCAATAGGCTCTGTTTACAGTGTACAAATGAAGTAATCAAATATGAATAACTTGAGACAAGTCAAATCTACATGAACTGGTTACCAAATGGTAACCAATGTGTTTGTCAATCTCTTCGTTTTCGTTAATGGGCTACAATCGGCACTATAGAGTTAATAGCTTCATAGATTATATCAAACAATGACTAATTCCTGAACAGAATACAAGTCATCAGGTATGATTCAAATAGCACTGATCAATGTAAATTTTAACAGTCGGAAAACGCATATTTCCTTGAGGTTGCAGATACGTCTAGGTAATAAGTGTTCAACACGATTGATTTTTCTGCTAAAACACAGAATTTCAAGTGTATTCGAGAACTAAACCTGAATGTCTAAAAAACCAAGGGGTATATGCTGAAGCCGACATGAAATATATCAAGAGTTAATGATTGCATATCTCACTCTTTACGCAAAAGCAAAACAATGAAAAGAATACAAATAAGAAGGATAATTTTTAGACTACTGAAATATACTTCAAGTAGTATCGCTCTATTATGGTATTTTATTTTTGTTGACAATTTCCCATTGTGTAACGGTAACGTCAGTCGATCCATTTTTTTTGTTAGATATCTCTAGCTGTGACTAATATCTATACTGCAAATTTTCTTTTTCTGACTTCCAAAAAATATTCTCTAATTATCACAACTTTGTTGAAAGAAAAAGGTTTCTAATGTTTTGCTTATACGGCAAGATTTGTTCTTCCATCGCTATTCACAAAGATGGGATTCACATCATTTAAGCGCACAATACCACGACTAACTTGTACACATTCTATAACTATTCTGATTCAGCCTTTTCTTTTTTACTTTTCCATTCACAATTCTTAACTTTACACATCAGTTTATATTTGACACAGTATCCCTGTTAATTGATAATCCCTAAACTTGTTTATTCATTAATTAGTGGAAATCCTAAGAAAAAAACCGTTTCACAATCTCAGTCCCAAAATTAGCTCAGTGTACAGAGAATTGTTAATATTCAAGTTCATATAATTAACCGCTCTTAGTATGAAATATTGGATTTGGAGTTGAGCTACAGAGAGATGACTATCAATCAATGAGTCAGGGGTTCGAACCCCACCCCATCTACCGAAGGCTTGGGCCGTCAGGTAGTATCACAAGCTTTGAAGGAATAGAAGTGGCTCACTGCCTACTGTACATAGGTATAGATGAAGATAGAACTTGATGAGACTCTAACGAAAATAAGTATTCGCTCAAACTCCCATATTTTCAATATTACCACGAGGATATTTCGTGTAGTGAAGAAGGTTTGCAAGTTTGCGGTAACCTTTGAAAAAATTCATCAAAGATAAAAAAGCCTATAAGGAAACCCTTAGCAAAATCCAAGACATTAGTTATCAAATTACAATTTTGTGCATACCTGATGAGCTAGCCAAGTGATTTGATGCTTACGATGTGCAAGCTTGCCAGGTTCTTCATCCACTATAGGTTTTGGTCTGTACTGTGCGTCATCGCTTGTGACTGATTTGATTAATTCTAGTTGAGCACCAGCAGTTAAATCAGATTGGTTGATTGATATCACCTCAGTGTTTGTTGATTGAAGTAATTCATTCAAAGCAATATTACTGCCTTTTGTACTAGGCATAATAAGGCGTGCACGTTTACGCTGAATGGATATAAGCAAACGGATCGGTTGAACATTTCATACTTTACTTAAATTAATAAATCTACTGTTCTTTATAACAGGTATAGATATTAGTAATTAATACACATTAGGGCATTGCTAAGACTCGACTTTAAGAAGTAGTAGAAGATATGGAAAAGTTACAGGTTTTCGATTATAGGTATCTTCGTAGTATTGCTTGTATGTGGTGGTAAGCTATATTGAGGTTAAGGAGAGGGTACGAGGTGAGGAGGTAAAGTCAAACGATAAAGTTGCAAACTTTCAACAGTTGATATAGCTTGGACGTAAGTAGTACATCCCGAGACACCGCCGACCTCAACGTGCAACGTTAACAGAAGTAGGTTTCAGATAGGCAAAAGCTAATTGAAACAAGACATTAGTCCAAGAAGTCTTTCACAGTTGGTCTGAATCATGTAGGGATAGGAAAGCTGCTTGGAGACTCTTTATGACAGGGCTGAAAATCGATCACAATCGAGATGTATCTCACAGCTTCGTTAACATTCATCTATTTGCACGCTTTCTTATCGTACATTTTTGCTTACTCCTTTTTCTACCCATTTCTTTGCATACTACACACTTCTCGCAGAGATTCTAAAATGATCTGTTTATGTACACAATCATCGTCTACAACGAAACCTCATGCTTCCTCATGAACATCCGGCGCATCTTCCTAATCAGTCTGAACTTAATTCGTCAACTCAATATACTGTTCTTTATTTACAAATCATGTCAGTGTCAGTTTTGGAATTTAGAAGATATGTAACAGCTGACTTCCGTGCTATCGTAAAGCCAAGCAAGTCAATTAAATATATGGAACCCAACTAAACCGTCATTAGCTGTTGATGTAAGTCATGTGGAGAACCGTAGGTTTCGTGCGAACTCACGATCCCGGCGGGGGTCGAACCCGAGACATTGCCATTGAGTCACTGGGTTGGAACTCAATGCTCTACATTTTCCTACTTCTATCAGTTCGTGATACAGTATCAACTTCATCCAAACCAAGTCGTACGCGAGGAAAGGTACTCAACGATGGTATTAAATGAAGGTGGCATTTTGTTTTGTTGATTTTCCTTCTTACCTTCTTGCTCTGACTATAGCCATGCAAAGTAGTGAAGTATGGAAAGCTATACTTATCCTTTATTATTTAGAATTTTATTCGTCTTCCATTATATCTATATCCATAGAGTTTAATGCAATAAGCTGGTTGAATAATACAGATTCTGTCAGCTGCCTATTACATTTTGGAGTGAACTTAATGACAGAGACTACATCTCTACATCCTCTACTTGAGACCTGCCTGCTTCACTGAAACAACCTTCAGACATTACACAACTCGTGACATCTTCATCTGATGCCTGTTATCAATCACATATACAGTGGATGCAATCACAGTATGTGTTTTACTGTTCTTTGATACTTGTGATTTCCCGCTGCTTTTACTGGGTCAAACTGCTAAATGTCTGTTGGTAGATGGGCTCTTATGCGCATTCCTCAATAGTACCTGGATACTCATGGTGTTGTATTGAACTTGGTGACTACCAATGGACCCAGGACGCGCATTTCTTCCCATTTGGGACTCGTCAGCTGCATGCACCTGCACTCCCGTAAGTGGTGTTTTTCTCACTGAGAGTCAAATTCAGTACCCATTGCTTCAAACTCCAAAGCGTTACCCACTGGGACACAGGACCCATCTCTTGTGCCTAGTGGACAACGACCTGGCGTTTGAAGTGATGGGTACTGGGTCCAAGTCTCAGTGGGGACAACATAACTTACTTGGATGCAGGCACATCCAACTGACAAGTCCAAATAGGACAAAACGTACGTCTTGGACTCCACTACCGGTCACCAAGATAGATGAATATGTAATGTCTTAGCATTTATTTAGACGCACTATTTAGCGTCTAACATTTGAACTACTTATGAGAAATAAAGTAGTACACCGAGATAAACACAAATAAGTGGTTTCTAAGTGACAACATATTAATTTACTCTAAAACTATGTAAATTTGATCAATATTCCAATGAATGCATGAAAGTGGGTCATTCCAGTCTTAAATTATACAGACACTAACAAATATAAATCTTATTTGGATGGCACGAAGATCTGTTTATCAACAAATAACCTTATCATAGAAAAACAAGTACATTTTCAGTCCAGTTACAAAAATGAATAACTAGAAGAAAAACAGGGGTAACACTATAGATGACCAAATGAATCTATTGTGACAGTCAATATTTTGTCTGATAGTATAAATATGCTCGGCAATTATTACTAAAAACTAACACTGATTGGTTACTGGGAGGGTAAGCAACTTCATGTTGTCCTATGTGCTAATCAAATCCTATCGATCATTTGCAATGTATCTTACCAGGCTAGGCGACTCAGCACCGCGATGCACTTTGATAGAGGCAAACGGTATAAAACTCTGTTCCACTTACTTTTCGCGCTCATCAGCAAGGCGTATCTGCAACTTCAACCGGATGGCGATCGAGAGAAATCGATCAGTACATAGGACTAGACAACATGAAGTCGGTTACCTCCAGTGACCAATCAATGCATGTAACCCAGTTCTACAGGAGGCCAGCCCCACCTTGAATACCTCAGTGGTAGCGTCTCTGACTGCAGGACTACAAGATGCGGGTTCGAATCTCAACTGGAACACCAGTTTCCTCAAGGTTACAGACTTGTCTTGACGGCAAGTGCCAAGAAGCATGAAACCTGGGTTCAGGGCTTCGTACCGATTGTCTTCATTCAACTAATGATAAATAGTGGTCAGTAAGGACAAGTTTTTAATATGGTTTACTTACAGAAAGCCATCATAGACGGCATAGTACCTCCATTTTAAGAGCTTTGTTTCGATCCACAATAGAGAAAATTTAGTTAGAACGCTATTTCATAGAGTCAGGATAATCTGTATATGTCAATTTGTCATTTTAAATTGATGATGTGCGTGAAGTGGTTCAGTGAAGACCGGAAAAGCTTTCCAAGAGAAGTCATTTCGCCACTCAACTCATGGTTCATACCATCACTAAATGACTAGGGATCCAATCTTCAATTCTTATCGAATGGTGACTAGTAGCCAAACCCAGCTGAGTGAGTTTCCATGATCTAAACCGATGGCAAATTGATTCTATATTGTTTACTTAGGAACAGAAGGTTTGACTGGAACGGTAAAATGGTCAGTAAACGACTAACAAATTATTACCAATGAATGCGAGGCTGCTGTTATATTCTACATGACAACTTTGAAATATTGACCGGTTTACAAAAACCCCAACCAAAAAGGCAGCTGGCATATTAGAGTCCAACATATATCTAAATATTATCTATATTTCTCTGGAGTTACAGCACAACATAGGATGATCAATTTTCAAATGATTTACACATAGCACGATTCGAGTTGACGTTTCTCAAAGCTGACTACAATGTCAACGAGGTTTCTTCTAGAAACCACTCATTCGCCAAGAACACAAGATGTGATCTCTGACATTAGTGTTATGAATTAGAGGAAACGGAAATGTCAACTTGGATCGTGCAGTTTGTAAAACATTAGCAAATTTATGGTCATATTTAAGACAAGTCAGCTAGTCAGATTCAGGTGATATGAATTACTCGAGTCTGTGAACTGAATTTATCCAGGCACACCGCTGACCAGCTGGCTCCGACACAAACGAGTGAAACGACCATCCGGTGTTTAGATCTAGCTGGTGAAATTTACACATAAGCTTGAGTGGTTTCTAACTACTCAAGCAGCTCGGCAGTATATTTTTCCAGCACAATAACTTACATGTTGAAATCCTGAAGACTAGAATACTAAACCCCTAATTATGCACGATGTCCCGCTACTCTGCAGACATGGGTTGTTCTAATTGATGTTGTACCACTTAAAACAAACATGTATACGAGTATCAAAGTGATAGTACACTGAAATTTACGATAGCAAAGCTCATAGACGACAGCTGTGTGAAGTTGTGGCTTACTGGTGTAGGCAGTCGACTTTTAACCCGCGGGCTACGGAATCGAACCTCCACTCCACCCATTGAGGTCTAGACAGTCAGAAGTTCTTAAAAATGGATGATTCCATATCGTCAAGTGTTTGAAAAAGATAGTACAGTATGTTAGGTCTGATATGCATATGAACCAAAAATTTAAGTTTACACGTGAATATCCAATTATGGTTCCTATCGCATATGTGTTGATTAAGTCAGTTTGTGAGAATAGGCTGAAACTAGGCCAGGCTTTGTTTCATTTCCTCAATCTAATTTGGACACTTTCCATTTTATTCTTTATGAATCAACTCGACTACGAGATATTGTTTATAACTTTAAAAAAAACCCTGAGTAATTTCAAGGTTATTAATGTCGGTAATCTGACTTAAATCATAGAGTGCAGAGATATGACTGAAGCTCTTTTCACACTTCCTAAAGTAGATGGAATTTCTTGAGGGTTGGATAGTAGCCCTTCTAGAACTGATCTCCTGATAAGCCTGCTCTATATAGGCTGCATCGCAGTCATAGAATTCTGCTTTATAAAAAGCGATCAGATATGATTCCTGTGGCAACTTCATCCTTCACATAAGCCAATATGCTGCGCAGTGTGCATAACGCTCAGGAGAAAACTCTCATATTGCGTATTTGTAAAGCAAGTACCTTATTCCATTTGACATGTGCGACGTATATGGGATAACTACTGTTGTAGCCCATGATTTAGGGGTACCATTACAATCGTATTTAGTGATATTTATTACTTTGTGAACGAAGTTTGTCGGATAACTACTCATTTTAAGAACTTTACTTACATTCTTCAATTCATTTGTTGAAAAGGAATTTGATCAAATTGTCATACTTAATGAGCCCTGACACTGCGAAGTCTCAGCTTACCGTTAATTTGATGAAGCTATGAACAAGAGATAGTAGAACATCATTAAAGACAACATTCTTGACTACTATAGTTTATTTGATGGCTATTAGTGGAATCCAGAATGCACGTTTCGTCCCATTTAAGACTTACTCATACAAGCAAAAGTGATGGGTACTGGGTTCCATTATCAGTGGGAACGACACCAATTGGCGAGTTATAGATAGGACGAGACGCACGTCCTAGATTCCACTGCTAGCCAGCAGATAGACTACAATATAATGATTATTCAGGCAGTATCGAGGCATGAGTATAGGAGCCCATCTGCCGACAGACGTCGAGAAATTCAATCCAGTATATCAACATGAAATTACAAGTATCAATAAAACAATTATTGACCACCCTTGCCTCCAGTTATATAGTTTAGAGCTGATTCTGCTTTGCCGTATTCTACTCCGTTCTAGGTCGAGTGGTACAGAGGACGCTTATGAGCTATTCGGTTTGATATTTTCAAGTGACGTTTCATGAGGAATTGATGTGCTATGGATCCCTGAAGACATAATCTGTTTGACATATGAAATGTCAGGTAACTAGGAACTGAAGAATTCAAAAAAGAACATCAGTTCATGTTACCGAATCGAAATGCCCTCAATAACCTTGCGCATATTCGTGGAGCAGGTAGTGAGCCACACCTATTGTGTAAGGGCTACTGATATTACCTGGCTCCCAAACCTTGGTAGGTAGGGCAGGATTCAAAGCCGTGACTCATTACTTGGAGGTCATCTCCCTAAACCCAATAAGCCACGGGGCCCCACATTCAAGTTACCACACTTCTAAACAGCTCTCGTACCAACAACCATGAAGGCAACTAGGGGAGAACAGATTAAACTTCAATCTTTTTTTACTTCTGTTCACGCACTTTAAAGTTAAAATTAGGTAACCACTTCAAAAAGCTCTTGAACCGACCATCACCTGCACTTCGTCTAGAAATACCACCTGCAGTCATAGAACCACAAGTGAATACAAATCCTCCAACAAAAATAGAAGTCCTGAACGCCATAAAGCTACTGAAATGCGAGAAAGCAACAGGACCACATGGAATCCCACCAGAATCACTGAGAGTAAACGCAAGGACAACAGCAGACATGCTCACACCACTATTGCAGAAGGTCTGGAAGGAAGGGAAGGTGTCCACAGATTGGAAGAAGGGCTACCCTGTCAAACTCCCGAAGAAGGGTGACCTTAGTCTTTGCAAGAACTGGCACGAAATCACGCTCACGTCCACCCCAGGCAAAATATTAAGCCGCATTATCCTGGAGAGGCTTAAGGATGCACTGGATTCAAAACTACCACCGGAACAGGCTGGCTAGATTCAGAAAGTACAAATCATGTACAGACCAAATTGCAACGTTTCGCATCATCATAGAACAGAGCATAGAATGGCAATCAGCTCTCTACCTCACCTCAACTTCATCGACTTTGAGAAGGCCTTTGACAGCGTCGACCGAGAAGTAATTTGGAAACTGCTTCAATACTACGGAGTACCGCAAACCTTTATCCGCCTCATTCAACAACTATATGAAGATACCACATGCCAAGTAATTCACAATGGGAGGCTCAGTGATGCTTTTGAGGTGGAGTGAAGACAGGAGTGAAACAAGGTTGTCTACTATCCCCCATGATATTCCTGATTGTGGTCGACTGGACTGGATCATGCAGCAAACAGTGGGGAGCTGTGAGAAGAGGGGGATACTCTGGATTGCGGGAAAGATCCTAGAATATTTAGATGTCGCCGATGACTTATGTCTAATGTCACACAAACTTGGAGATCTACAGGCGAAAACTAACAAGTTGACAGAAGAGGCAGCGAAGACGGGACTTCAAGTGAACATAGAGAAGACAGAAGTGATGAAGATACCCAACCAACACCACCACCAACAACAACAAGCTCCAATCACCACCAATGGGAGAAACCTAAAGGAAGTAGCCTCTTTCACCTATCTAGGAAGCACTGTTTCAACTACAGGCGGCACAGGCACAGACGACGACGTCAAAGTCAGCCAGGATCGGAAAAGCAAGACAGGCGTTCATTAGCTTGAAACCAGTGTCAAGATCTGCACTCAGCATGTGGAACAAGATCCGGATTTTCAACACCAACGTCAAGTCAGTGCTTCTGTATGGCTCAGAGACCTGGCGCGTTAGGAAAGGCATTTTCAACAAACTACAGACATTCATCAAAAACTGCCTACGCTGACTCGTTACTGAAGATCAGATCAGATGGCCAGAATAACAGGAATAAGCAACAAGGAACTCTGGCCTGCCAACGAAGCAACCAAGAACCTATCGCCCAACAAATGTGCACTGGAAGGAAGTGGAGATGGATTGGACATACACTGAGAAGGCCGGCTGGGGACATCACGCATCAGACCAGACACTCGAGTGGAACCCCGATGGGAAGCGACGAGTTGGGCGTCCGAGGTGAGGGTGACATGGAGGAGATTGTGTGAGGAAAAAATGAGAGCTTGTGGGCCGTCGTGGAGCCAGGTTTAAAAGATTTCAGAGAAAAGAGTGCACTGGAGACGTGCTACTGAAGCCCTATGTTTCACTGGGAACCCAAGGGACAAATAATAATAAAGTCAATTTCCCATTCAGTTGTGACTGCGCAGAATGGAGTGGGTTTTACATTAGTTAGACTGCTACTAAAAGGTGGTACTTAAATCTCAGCTAGTCCGTTGGCTGTCAGCGTCCATTGAACACGGCATAACTCCTCGCTGAAAATAGTTTAAGATTGCCAAGAACTGTTAAAAAAAAAGTCAGAAAGTCTGCGTATCTGCGTGAATGCTAGTAAAAGTGTAGTAGACAAGATTTGTAGCCACACAGTAGAAACCAGTAAGAAATATATCAGCTGGAATTACTTTTAGTATCGTTGAGAAGCTCATCATGCTGTACAGAGGTATGGTGAGAGATTTGACCCCTCCAAACTGAGGAAGTTTGACAACTCTATGCCCAGATTATTATTATTATTATTATTATTATTATTATTATTATTATTATTATTATTATCTTCAATTCGGATTTACTCACGTAGTGACAATATGATGTGAATAACTCTGATTTTTTGAGGCATCTGTATGTACGTAATAGAGATCATTATTTGATAGGTATAACTACTTAGAAATACTGGGCTCGATAACCTGGAAGCGGATTTCGCCAACCACCTCAACAAATTCCAAACCAACCATTATTTGGTGGTGATGAGATTAGTTGGAAGAAACGGTGATATGATGGATTTATGAAGTAGCAGTGCGGTAAGAATGATAGCTGTTTTAGTCTACCTCTGATTGCAGCATCTCAAACTTATGAATAGGATATTAATGGTTAAGTAACTCAGGATCTTGAGACAGGTTGGAATCAGCTTGCATAGTTATCAATGTCCACCTACTTGTATTCCGTTTTTGAAGTGTAGTATGGAAGCGATGGAAGCATTTGCATGACTCCCAGGTGACTGCTTCCGTTCTTCGTCTCTCTCTTTCTCCATTATGGATACATCTTTGAAAACAGTTAAACAGATTTTGTGTTAAAACAAATGATAATAAGTAAGCACGCTTAAGTGATAAGTAGCAGCCCTATTTTAACAGAACACTTTATGGGATTAAATCTATAAGATGGAACACTTTGGTAGGTTTACATACAATACAAACACCTGCGTACGTGTTACCAACTATCTCAAGGGGACTGAGGTTATACAAAAGAAACAGACAAATGCACAATACACTTTTATATGCTCAGATTTGATTATCAACGTAATTCTTGCAAATCCAATCCGCAGTTCACGACATATATGTAATCCATTTATTCAGACAAACAGACAGCCGAAATCAACGCAGAACCTCGTACACAAGTGCACCGATTCAAGTTAACACACTTTACAGTAGCATACAAAAAACAAGTGCATAGAAAAAGTGATATCAAACTAGAAAAAAGTTGTGTGACAGAATGAATAATTTGAAGACAACGGTTAGTGCAAATAATCAAGCATTAGAAGACGTCAGAGTTAATACATCTGCGCCATTGTGAGGAACTTTCAGCCATGTTACCAAGAGTCCTCAACCGCTGATTCCTATCGTCTTGGGGACCTCATCCAGGTAGTCTACATCTCCCTGCATGGCTCAGACCAACAGTTGGGGACTTCATCAACTGGTGCCACGTCTTGATCTCGCCACCATGAACCCTCTTTCAACCTAATCCAAGTTCTACTAGTATTACACGTCGAGTTATTCACCCAGACATCAGCTTCGCATCTGTGTAAAGCTAACGGTTTTTAATCTCGATTGAAAGTGAAATATTAACCAGTAAAACAATAAGAAATGTTGAGTCGCTAGAATTGTCATCTTACACCCATAAGGAACAAACAAATAAAAAACAGCTACAAACGTTATTGCTTCCAAAAATACCTCGGGGCCTGGAATGAAATTCTCTTCTGTCCAAAATACTTTCTCTTCAGGATCATCATCTTGATTAGTGACATTTTTCTGTACCGAAGACATCTGACGGAGAATCTCTGGATCACTGATAGTGATTTTCGGAAGACATTCTTCCCATGATTTCGGAGTAGTTCGGTCTTTTGCGAAGATTTCATGAGATATTTCAGCTGTTATCGATGAATTAGCAGTACTGCGAGTATATTCATTATTTTCGTGAATTTTACTAGATAGTTCTGCTTTTCTTCGAGATGATTGTAGTGCTGACAGGGCAGCTGCTCGTTCTGAGGCAATGGCTTCGTGATTTTCAGGCACAGGTTTATAAAATGAAAAGAAACTACATTCCTTGACATCTGTTGGTTCTGCAATCTCTGTATCAGAGTCATGCTTATCTATGATGTCTGAATCCCATACATCATCATCATCATCCACGTTGCCTGACCGAGATGAATCGGATTTCTTTTCACTATTTTCAATCTTTGGTTTATCAGTAGGCGTTTCTTTAGGAGTTTGGTTCGTACTTTTTCTAGACATCAGTTGATGCGGTATCATTGGCTTACTACCTTCTCGAATATTCAGTGATCGTGTAGGCGGAAGAATGGATAGCAGATTCACTTTCTCCGTCATAGATTTGAAATTTTTGCATGGCTTTAAAGGCAATAAAACAGAAGACGAAAGGTATTAGGAAAAGTCCGTGATTGGCAAGAATATTTAAAAACAGGTAAGAGATATTCTGTACCATCTATTTGAGAAAAATTTCCCCAAACACTAGTTTATTTAGTCTAAATAAATAAAGTGGGTTGAGCTTTAAGTTGTGACTACACTATTCCATTGGTAACTTCCTAGACAGATATGTGAATGATACAATTTCAAAAATCAGAAGTGATATAAACTTTCTTAACATTGTAGCTAAACACACCAGCCTTATTGATGATTAAATACGGACAGACATAAGATGTGGTTTTACAGAACCCGTCTTATTGCCCACTATCAGAAATAATGAAAGTAAATGACAGGAAATAACTCTCTTTTACAGACTAATTTCCCCGCATACCCATTAATCGAATCTCAGTTTCCAACGACGCTCTAAATGACGATTTAACGCGAATATCTAATGGATTTACACAGGCGACAGACTATTGTCATGAAACATCTAATAACTATATCCTGCCTTTGACATTAGATAAAATAGGATTTAAAGAATGTCAACTTTGAATATTTGTTCTAAAATACCGATAACTGAGAAGCAGTAAATCTACCAAATATACGCATTTCTACTAAAAGGTGTCGCACAATGTCAATACAGAATTTTTATTGAACTTTTGTGCCGATCATCCTCCGACAATCATGCACCAGGAAAACAGTTAGTCTTTGTTTAGCTACATTGTTTCCAGCTTCACAATGGCATGAAATATCGCGAACTCAACTATAACACAGAAGGACACAAGAAGCAACATAAAACGTATCATAAAAGTCCATCCGTTCAACTTGTGGCAGTTCACAACCACACATGAAGAATAAGTCACAAAAAAGGAAAGGTGTGGGAGTGAACAAATATAAATGTGGAAATAGAGCAAGCAAATATAGAATAATAACATGTTCAAAGTTAAGAGGAAGATTATGAAAGAATACATATCCACTACTCAAGATCTCCAATCATCGATGCAAGCGTTTTCCATACACTCATGCTTAAAGATCCTGGAAAAGTTGTCTATACTTCTTGACATGATTCAGATCAAGAACCACTGACTTTATAGGTTGTTTTTAAGTCATGATCTAAATATAGTTAGCTTTTTGCCAACTTAATTCCAATTCAAACAGTACCACACGTTGAGACACGGAGTGATTTGGAATATCTATACATATCCCAGTCGAATCAATCAGTGCAATTTCATGGCCTCAACCATTTAGTAATCTTTCCTGACTAAAACAATCTAGCATTAAAACAACCGACCTAGTGTTCCTACCATACGTGTAAAAATATGATCATATACTTCTAAGCCATAAAGTTCGACTAAATAAACTACTGTGTAACATGTTTAGAATCTGATACGCCATCAGATATTCTGCCGATACTATACACAACAAGTTGAAAATGTTGGACGTTTTTTGTATCCTCGTTGATAAGGTTCCTTGGATTTGAGGAAGATGCTGCCAAAAATAGCACCTGAAAGACTCAGTATTTTACCTTATTTATAATTTTGGCTTTTATGGGACACAAAGAAATAAGGGTGTGAAAACTATGTGACATGAGAACCCAACGTATGATAAGAGATGAAAGGAAATGAGAAAATGCTACGAAATACACCAGAGCAAGCATATTTTAACTAATCCAACTTCCAAATTCTTTTCATAATCACATCACACTCTAGTACGGTTATGAGTAATTAACTACTTAAAATATTATCCAGTAAATTATACTTTATAGCTGCGATGTATTAGACAAACTGATCTGATGTGGAAGTATTACAATTAGTTTACATCCTTAGTCATATCTAATCTTCAGAATCAATGAAACGTTACTTCAGACTCCCTGAAGAAAGAAGTGATACACTAACAAGTCAATACGGTTGACCTTCACTGTTCTGTTATAAACCAGCTGCCTGCGATGTTGCCAGTAATTCGACAACTTGGATCCACTTCGAACATAAAATGTTTCACTTATTCTTGTAGTTCGGGTTGGTGTTATAATATGACTTCAGACACTGAAAGACTGTAAAGTATGTCTGAAAATATGTTACTAAACCATAATGAGAGTGGTACTATGGAGAAAAACCAGACTAAACAATCCATTATCAAAAGTTTGCAGTCCGGAGAAGCAAAACCTCAACTAATTCACGTAAAGGGTATGTGTTGTGCTAAGCATGGCTGGTTTCTGCATTTTATCTGACCTTCATGTAGCTGTGTAGGCGAAGCTGCCGTCCATTGGTTTCGAAAATTCACTTCCAACCCATGAGGTGCGGATTCGAAATATGTTGCACCTATCAATGCCCGAGTAGTCAGTAACACCAGCACCCACGCAACAGATGTAGCTCATTGCACAATACAAAAACCGCCGGGAGGTTGTTTATTTGATGATGCCGATTGCACATTTAAGTTTTAGGCTATACTTCAAATAAGAGAATCAAATTGTTTAACTTTGAAGCAGTTGGTAGAACGACTTCAATGAGGGTTTTAGTAAATGTCAAGACTGAGCAAATCTGCAAATAATTGGAAACGATAGGGACAAATTTTCGTATGCAATACTTTACAAATACTTTCCCGAAATATAATTCTCGAGGCTTTTCCTGACGACTACAGGCGTTTTATAGACTGGATTAGAAGCACTAATGATATTAACAAGATTAATTGCTCTACAAAGTGTAGTATTCAAGCATCAGTGCATTTCTGATTTAGAAGAAACACAACGTCGACCTTGAAACATTTCTTTTCAAATTCTACTACTTACCCTACCGATCTAAAGGGTTAATGAAATCAACTTTTAGTAAGAAGACTTTAAAGTGGCTTTCGAAGGATGTTTCTTCAAAGCCACCAGAATTTACGAGCCAGCAAAGTGTCCAAGTTCACTTACAAAAAGAAAATAACCAATGCTCAAAAATACTTGAAGTGATGAGATAAAGATCAACCCAATAGTAACCATCTGCATTTATACGATTCCGTCAAGCTAGACTAGACGATAGTCTATGACAGGAGCAGAATTTAGACGACCCATGGAAAATGGGGTCGGAAAGCATATATTAAAGTTGCAAACCTTGTTCTTGGTAGATGAATGGCTATCTTCGTCACTGTCCTCCGAGGAATCGAGCTATAAGGACACACCAATATGTATTAGGAACCAAGACTTACCGATTCCAAGTCAGGGACAGACAGCAAAATTTTACCTTCTTTTGTCTTAGCAATGGGAATATTAGGAACAAGATTCGGCAGTTTAGCACTTTTTGGTACTCGCATTTTGAATTCAGGCTCCACTCGATCTTTGGAATCACAGCTTTCGGTTACTCCTCCCTTTTGAGCAGTAAATACAATATTTTCATCGCCTTATATGACATAGTGTAACTTTCTATTTAACCCTACCACTAGAATCCTCTTCCGAGCTGCCATATGACACCAAGGCCATTTTCCCTGTAACGCACCTTTTGGATGCAGCGGAATTTTGTAGGCCCTTCCAATATCCAATATCGTTTAACGAGCTAGTGCAAACTAATTTATTCCCTCACACCAACTTCAAGGCCTCGAGGAACGGTTCAGGGTCTTTGGGAGATTTCGACGCAGTAGGTCTACCCACTCGACTGCTGTAGATCCGGTTAGCCCAACGGGTGGTTGGGTGTTGGTTAAATTTGTAAGGAGTGTGTGGGTTTTTTTCCAAGGACTGTGGTGCAGATGGGCTCCTCAAGTGTCATGCCAGGAGACAATTGGTCGGACTGGTCGTAAAAAGAAGGCGGAAGAGATTTCCAGGGAAATCAAGGGAGAGAACGTGTGAAGAAAAAGAAACAACAGAAAAAACGATTAGGTAAAAGGAGACTGAGGGGAAAAAGAGAACTCAATGGATTCATGGGACGGGGGTGCTGGTGAGAGCTTTCATCAAAGTGTGAGAACATAAAGCCAGTAGGAAGAGAAGGGGCAAATAACACTGTAGGACGGCTTATGGGAATAGAGATAGTGATTCCATCATCACGGAACGGTAACTGGAGATGTCTATAGGGAAGTATAAGGTTAAGACAGCTTCCCAATGATAGTGGTATTAAAAAGTATTCGTGAGATTGTACCGGCCCAGTTCATGTCCCAGCTAGATGGGCGCAAACCGTGCGTCTCTATGTAACTGTCCAACTTCTTGAAGTTGTCTACAGACGGAGCAGTGGCTATCTGGGCAGACAATGCGTTCCAGTGGCCGCAAACTAGCAGAGAGGAGAAGTGCGAACGCACATGGATTCCCGCCCCATCGATGAGTGATTCTCCTTGAGTTATCACGAAAGTCGCTGCAATGGCGTTCGGTAGGGTTCCACTGACCAGATGACTTGGATTACTTAGTATTTTGTAAGCCGTTGTCAAGTCACCATATAATCTAAGGTGGCTTAGGGAGTAGAGCCCTAGATCTTTCAGCCTATCCTAATAGGGTTTTCACTTCATTCCCACGACAGCATTTGTTGCCCTCCGTCGGACTTTCTCCGGGAGGTCCACATCCCTTTCCAGATACGGTGGTGAAATGACGCTGTGGACATCCGAGTGAGGTAGTATGTAGGTCTTGTACAGATTCAGAAAGAGTTCCGGGGTAAGGGCTCTTAGTTATCTGCGCATGAAGTGCAGTACTGAGTAGGGTGTGGGGACATCCAGATAAGTGGAGCTAGTGTCCAGCTTGTCAGTCAGTATTAGTTCCAGGTCTTTCTCTGTGGTGGTATGGGAAGGGTGTGTTCCACAGAGAGAATAGGGTACCTTCGGAGAGTCAAGGATGCGTAGGAACGTGGCTCGGCACTTATCCAGATTAAGTGCCAGTCCATTAATATCCACCCGCTCTGCGAGTAACCCGAGATCACTTTGCAGCTGACTTGATTCCGCTTCGGACGCCACATCGTCAGCGCAAAGTAGAATTAAGGAGCTGAGATTCAGAGGAAGGTCGTTCACAAAAGATGGTGATGACCTCCGAGTTGAGCAAACCCTGTTGGCTCTTGTGAAGAACTGCCTACCGTCTAAACAGTCCCGTGCTCAGCAGAGAACCAGACGCTTGATACCTGGCCTTGATATTTTGTGAATAAGAGTGGTGTGCGGGACAGTGTCAAGGGCCTCAGCGAAATCCGGGAAAATAACGTGAACAGGAATTTGGAAGTCCCAACATGCCACCCTCTTATCGCCGGCTGCCAGAATGTTTGAGGTGGAGGAACTACCCTTTCTGAAACCATATTGAGCATCAATCGGCGCTCCTCTCTTTTCCAAGTCGTCTGCCGGGCTCTCCATTAATTTTCGCACCACCTGCAGAAGGGCTATGGATTGATAGCATTTCGGGTTCTGTCTGTCTTCTAATTTGAAGATGGGAGACAGAATAGCATGTTTCCATTCTCGTGAAAGCATGTAATTGTCCAAGCAGTGGTGAAACAGACTACGAGGCCGGCCTCAAGAGGCACCCGTGCATTGTGTGAACACAGCTGGCCGGGTGCCATCGCATCCTGGTGATTTTCCTACTTGGAGCTTTGACAGCTTTTCAAGGACTAAGGTAGGAATTACCTTCATTCCAGGCGACTCTACCACATTTAGTGGCGACGAATGTTGGTCGAACAGTCGGCAATTTTGGTTAGATGGAGACGCGTTCAGTTATGTCGAAGGCGGTGCTAAAGGCTTTGGCAACCTCTAGTCCAGTCAGGTGCCCTCCGTTCGAGCCTTTCAGTACGCGAACCCCCCGGCTGCTGGATTTTATGCCGTCCATAAATCAGCGGTAGAATGCTCGGCTGCCACGCGGGCGGTTCGGGTCCGATTCCCGGCTGGAGCAGCGTTTCAACAATCACACTCCAGAATCAGCAATACCTTTCAATACCTTTCTACAGGCTAGTGTAGGCCAAATGATTTCTTTTCACTCGCTTCCAGGTCTTGCCGAACGGTTCTAGGTCTTTGGTGGATTACCACGCAGTGGGTCTGCCCACCTGCCTACTGTAGCTCTGGTTAGCACGATAGGCAGCTGGGTGTTGGTACAAGCTTATGAAACAAGTGGGATTTGGAACATGTCTTCTGCTTCCTAGGCTTTTCTTGCTATCATTTATTTATGCTTCCGTTATGAATAGAGAAGTCTTCCTTACTTTCCTAGATTCAGCTGGGTTCCAATATCCGAAATCTGTTTTACGAGCTTGTATTAGCCCTCTCGTTTTCCCACTCTAAGCTCTGCGTCTTTTGGAGCGATTTCAAACCCCAGGTGGATCCCGACACGGTTGTTCCACCCACTCACCCGCTGTGGCACTGACAAACCTGGTGGGTCGTTGCTTGATGGGGGTGTATGACTCGTCCCGGGGCATTAGTGCAGATCAGATCAACAAATGCCCAATCTCCGGCCAACCTCCTCCACAGGTAGTGTAAGAGAGGAAATAGGGAGGGGCGAGAAAAGGAAAATGAAAGAGAGAGAGACATCTGGATAAATTCGGGGAAGATAAGTGGGAAAAGGGAGGTATGGAGAAGTTAAGTGAGTGCGACTAAATCATGTGCGGGAAAAGGAGTGGTCGCAAAAAGGAAGATCACTGCAGGGATAGTGGAAATATAAATAACTATGTCGGTGGTGGCATGGTAACTGGAGGTGTGAGATGTCTAGTGGGTCGACATAAAGTCCAATGGAGTTCATGATAGTAGCGGCAACTGAGGAAGACCGGCACAGAGAAAATGGATTGTTTGGCTATCATGACGTAAACTGATTGACCCCAGATGGGTGAGTGTAAGTCATGTATCACCGCACAACTGTCCAAGCTTTTCTAGAAGCTATGGACAGTTTGGGCACTAGCTACCTAAGAAATCGACGCTTCGCAATGGCTGCAGACCCCTTGGGAGAAGAAAGGTGAACGCACCAAGATTCTCAACCTTACACGGTCAATTATCTTTAGATTTCTCAGACGATGTTCCCAGTGAACTTAAAGCAATATTCCACTGATTTCAGTTACTGGTCACCTTTGAAGCCATTAATAAGTCGCCATATATCCTACGGTAATTGCGGGTTTAAGGATCAAGGTCCCCAGGCCTATTATGGTTTAACTTTTGTCACGACCCCCCAAAATTACTTGTGGCTCATTTCTGGACTTTTTCACAAGATTTACACTTCTATTAGTTTGTGTTGGTATAATGAAGTAGTTTTACACGCCTAAGGTGTAGTGTGGGCTATGGGGACTTTTTCTAGATGATTGCAGTGTCTATAGTTTGTCAGTTGGTATTGGTCCCAGCTCTTTCTGTGCGATCGCGTGTGCACTGCAGGGAAGGACAATTTCTGCGTGCCAGTAGGGCGGAGAAACATGGCTCATGACTTATCCCCGGTAAGGGCTAGTCCCCTGCCTCCATCCTTCTGCCACGAATTCTGAAGTCATCTGGTTCTCTTCTAAATGTCCGCTTTCCACAGCTAAAGATTGCCGACATTAGGCAGAACTGAGATGCTGCGACTCGGTGGAAGGTCAGTCACAAAAAGTAGAAGCAGCGTCCGACCTACAACTGCTACTCGTGATGCGTTTGACGATGATGCACCTTAAGCTAAGCAAACCCTGCTGAATTTTGTGCAGAACTCTACCGTCTAAGCAGCCCACCAGCCAGGAATTGACCTTGATACTGGGAGCCAACCTTGCTATTTTTGTGCACAAAAGTGATGTGTGGAACTGTGCGGAAGGCCTGAGTGAAACCAAGAAGAATCGAATGGGCATGGACCCGATGGTCCCATCATGCTGTCCAGTTGAGTCAGACTGCCAGAATTTCCGAAGCACAGGACTTTACCCTTACGAAGAGAGGCTGGGCACTGCCTAGTGCTCCTCTTTTATCCAAGTTTCCCCTAATATGGTCTTCCGTCGGGTCCTCCATTAGTTTTGACAACAATGTTAGAACAGCAGTTCGTAATTTGGCCGAATGACGCGACGTTGTGCTGTTTGTCGAAGGTGGTAGGAAACATTACGGTAACTCTAGTTTAATTTCGATTCTCTCCATTCGTACTCCAAATAGTGCATGCTCCCTGGTTAGCAGATCTTCTTTCCGCTGTGAATCGAAGCGGGTTCTTGGAATTTGCCCTAAGCCTCCGGATAATGTATGTTTGGAACGACCTGCCGTTCCCTTGAAACCTGCAGTTGCATCGATTACTTACAGCCTTGTTTGCACTACGGTCTGACCCTTTTACGGACAGCCCCCATCTTTGCCATGCCTTCTGTGGGGTTTCCAAGGGGCGATCGGTGCCCCTCTTTGGTTACAAAGTTTGCTTCTTAGGCGATACTATTGCCAGAGACAGATGATTAGAAGTGGCCGACTTAATGATGTTAGTGATAGTCAGTCGATAAGGATCTCCACTGCCGATGGGATGGGGCTATAAACGGATGTTTGTTCACCATCCCGTAGTTTGCCTTGTGATCGAGATGAGGGCGAGATGTCTATCGTGATGGTTGCACCCTGCTTACTATGGTGACCATCACCACGACTTGATTGCTGTTGCCG